TACACACAAACATACACACACACACACACACACGCACACACACACACACGCAAACATACATACATACACACACACACACACACACGCAAACATACATACATACACACACACACTGAGAGGATCGTTCCAATATGCGTTTTTGCTGCCTGTTGCAGCGCTCTAGCGCTGCACGGCAAAAACGCATAAACGCATGAAAAGTGCATGTTGCTCGAATATCGCTATCCTTCGCTCTTCGACTCCTGTTCACTGTCCAGTTGCTCAATTTGCATTTCCATCTGGCAACTCCAAATATTATAAGAAAAAGCATCAGTAGATTAGCTATATTTTTCAAAAATGAAAAGGCTTCTCTATTTCTGAAAAATATAGCTAATGAAAGGTGGACGTATTCTGAGTTTAGCCTGTTGAGCGGCAACAGTTGCCAACATGAAAACGTGGAAATTGTGGCTGGAAATTTATTGCTTCAGGAATCAGACAAAATAAAAAGCTAAAATTTTGCGAGAATGCTTGATGTTTAAACGCGAATCCAGGACCTTAAATTCGGTTTAAACGCACGCTGTTTCGTGTACAATAACATGAAAGTTTTGGCAAGAAATTTGGCTTTGGGACTGGCAAGGCAGGAATGAAGTTTTAGGAGGATTTTCCTGTTCATTTACGACCTGGCACTTCAAATTCAACTTTCATATACGATCACGCCTAACGTAGAGGCGCGCCAAATTTGATATGCAAAACGTTCTAGCTCAAAAATCAAACAAGATAAGTAGCTAAATTTTGACGAGAATGTTCCCTAACAATACGTGAACGTGGAAATTAAGAGCCTGAAAGTTTTAGCACCAAATTTTTAACTTAAAAATTTAGCGAGACCGAAAGTTGAAATATTAAAAGGACGTTTTCCGTCACTGTGCGACTTCGAAAATTAGCAAAGAATTTTCTAACTCTGGAAAACAGCAAAATAGAAGGCTGAAATTTTGGTAGGGTATTTCTTCTTCCTGAAAATTCAGCTTTCACTCAGGCCCACGTCTCACTTTCGGGTGCGTGGAAGCCAAGCAGGAACTACTGACATCTTCCTTGCTCTGTTGAGCAAAACTGCACAGAACGTATAATGGCAGCGTTTACATGGACAGCTATTTTTATGTGTTTTTCATACATTTTTATGCGTTTTTCTGCATATATGCAAATTGCTAAAACGCATATTGGGAAGAGGCTGCCTGCTTGTATGTATGTATGTGTGTGTGTGTGTGTGTGTGTGTGTGTGTACGTGTCCGCACTTTTTGTTGCCCACTTTCATTTCGAGGATCAGAAAAGCTAGAAGGCTGAAACTTTGGAAATATGTACCCATACTATGCGCGACCCTTCCGTTTTAATATCATCCCTCGCAGACGTCTGGGTGTCGCGTACAGACGCTTTAAAAAAATGTGCAAATTCTTTGGCGGAGAAGCGTCCTCGGGAACCAGACAAGGTAAGAAGCTGAAAATTTCAGTCCTGCGCATATTTTAGCTAAAGATTTCAAATTCAGATTTCAGGTATGCGCGGTACTCACGTAAGGGCGTATAGAAGTTTCTGAAGGAAAATTACTAACTCGGGATCCAGAAAAGCTAAAAAACTGAAAATGTAGGAGAATGCTCTCTGCCCAAGTACAAATTAAGTATTTCAAATTCAGCCTTGAGGTGTGCGTGGTTCTTGCGTATGGGCACTTAAAAGCTTTGGCGAAAAAATTTCTCACTCAACAGCTAGGTTATTGTTAAAGAATGGCCGTTAAATGGGAATTGTACATCTAATTTATGCAAAATTTATGGTAGTTTATGCTAGTGACCGCAGAAGGGAGGTGTAAAGCAACAACCGTTCATACAGTCAATAACCTGAGTACTTCAAATCCGGTGCAGAAAATACATGCTCGCACGGACCGGCCCGGTACGTTCCAGCCTGGGTTTGCATCCGTGCAATGTAAAACGCATATTGTCGAGGAGTTGTCTGTGTGTGTTTGTCTGTACCGATTTTTCTTCTCGAGATCTACAAAGGCTACAGGGATGAAACTTTGGAGACTTAATCTATATGCACTTATGGGCCTCTATCTCCAAAACGGGCGCTGTTGCCCATGTGGTTCCCACGTATGAGCCCGTAAAAATTTTTTGCGGGTAAGTTGCTGACTCAGGAATCTAAAAAGCTAGAAAGCTGGAATTTTAAGAGGATGTCTCTCGTTCACATAGGTCGTAATGAGTCCAAACTCAGACCCCAATTGTGCTTGGTTACCATGTACGGGTCAGTGAAATTTTTTTGCGGGTAAGTTGCTAGTTCAGAAACCAGCCAAGCTAGAAGGCTGAGATTTTAAGGGGATATTCCTGGTCCACGTAGAATCTAGTTACTTCAGACTCTGCTCCCAATTATACTGGTTCTTGCGTTCGAGCCCGTGGAAAATTTTGGCGGGTAAGTTGCTAACTCGGGGATCAGAAAAGCTAGGAAGCCCCGAACTAATATCTTTCCAACAATTTTTCGGTTTCAACTTTGACGTATCAGCACTGTGACGTAAGCGTGCGTGACAAATGACTTTGAAACCTTTAGCTCACATAAGGGCATGGAATAAAAAGCTACTAAAACACGGCTCGGCTCGACTCGGTTCGGCTCGGCTCGGTCCGTCTCACACACGAGCTGCAAAAAATTTTTTCCGGAAGGCAGGTAGTGTTGCCCTACGGTGGATGGGGGTAGTTTGATGTGGTGCCAGCGAAAGTTAAAAAAAGTAGAGGGGGAGGATTTTTATGGCTTTTCAGGTCACGTATATGTGATGTGTAACTTATCAGTTCACAAGAATATTTTTTTTAAATACGTGGTCATGCGAGCCTAAAATGAGCTTTGGCGTACTTCTGCGTCGCGCGTTCAAACATGTTAAAAATTTTTGTTACGAAAAGCGACTTTGTAAATCAGTCGAACTAGAAAACTGCTACACAGCTATACTTTGCGTTACGTGTTGCTCAAAAATCCTGAATTTCAGGATCACATTACTCAAATGATTGAGCAAATCGCCTTAAAATTTTCCTGGATTCATCCGGTGCTTTTCTATGAGAAAATGTTCTGGGAAGACGAGCTTCTGGAATCAGGATTTTGTAAAATGATGGTCACTGTAAGATGTTTTCAATTTCGAGAAATATCTTGGTTGAAAATGGTATTTACTATGGTTTGTAGAGACTTAAAAGTGCTGTCGATTAGCCAGTGACAGTGGCATTTATCATGGTCGCCTGGACAACTCCTTGTCTCTCATTTCCTTTCCTCCCTTTTCCTGCCCATTCCATCCCCTCCTCCCCGCTTCCACTTTCAATCCTCCTGTCGCTCTGACTCTTCCTTCATTCCCTTGGTTACAAGAAGAAAATCGGCGACTAAAAAACAAGTCTTTGGACCAGCTATCATAACAAAGGCTTTTTGGTCATTTAACTATTAAAGGATTGCGGGAAGTGAATCGTCTCCCTTATAATTTTTAAATTTTTATTTCAAATTATGTTGGACTTCATGCGATCCGAAGCATATTTTAGCAGAAAATTCAAGCCATATATCACATGAAATATCACGAAACAATTAAAATATAGCAGTATCATAATCGGCTGCTGTT